AAAAAAAAAAAAAAATTGAATTTTGCTTCTTTATGTTGTCAGTGTAGAATAATTTTCATCTTTACATGAGAATGAGAATGAGAATGAGAATGATAATGATAATGATAGTGTTCTTTTGCCCAATTTTGATGTGTTCAAATTTAAATTTTTTCAAAGTTATCAATTTCTTTTGCTTGGCTTTGCTGCTATATATTTGTGTGCATTTTATATATATTCGAATTGGAGATTTAATCATGAACTTCTCCAATTAAGTGCTTAATGGTCAGAAAACATCAGACTAGCAATCTACCTTTATTGTACGTGATCTGTTGTTTTTTGGTGATGCAAACATTGAGTTCTTTGTTTATAGGTGCATACCACAAAATGGGAAAATTGTAAGAAGTTTTGTAAGCACCTGTCATAGTTGAAAGCTGCAATTTTTTTTTGAGTCCCATTATAATAGCAACTAGTAAGATGAACATCGAGCACTTCTGGAAATCTTATTATGCCTACCATCCTTGAAATTGTTCTCCTCCAACCTACAACAAATGTCTCTCCTGCGTTTCTTAGCTATATAATTATTCGTTTCGAACAAGTTGCCTTTTTCTTTATTGCGAAAGGGTAGAGTCTACCAAAACCTAGACGACAAAGCATATTAAAAAACCATTCTTTTGAATTGGTGCAAAGGCTATCAATTTCTTAGCTTGCTGAACATGGAAGCTAGAGCAGATTGAATTGTAGTTCTAGTATTTTGAGCTTACTTACCTTGCAAATTTACATAGAGGATTCTTGTTTTTGTTAGGGATATAGTCAGCAACATGGTTGTGCTCCTTGTTCACATTATTAAGTAAGGTCAACGAGGCCAATGAAGTGCCTAACATTGTAGATGTTTTAAAGAGTGTTATTGAACCAAATGTCTATATTAGACCTTAACATTCAAAAAAAAAAAAAAAGATATTTGTATTGGTTGGACACAAAAATTCTGGATGACTGTATAGTTTTTAGTACACTTTGTACTTTATTGAATACAATATTTATGACTGAATTTGTTTTGTGTCATTGTTTTATGAAGAAACCATATTTAGAAATCCTTAATATCTAAGACAATTTCAACATGAGTTTGCAATGGAGCCTGTTGTGCTGGATGGAGTTTTTCAGTCCCTCTTCTGCTTGTATTACAGAGTGTTGGCAATTCAACTTTGAAATGCCATGTTTATGGTAACCCAAAATCTTAGGTCTTGTTGAAGCTAATAACTAGGGAGAATTGTTGCAATGTCTTTTACTTTGCTTATCACTCAGAAAATAAATGCTCTCCTTGTCTTGGAACAGTTTAAGTAAGAAAAGATGGTATGTGTAGTATTACTCTTTGCAGCTTAAATTGTTGTTGTATTAACTGTGAAACTTACTTTGTCTCCTATGACACTGCAAATGAGCTTTAAGCAAGATTCAACCAAAAACTTCAAGCAAGATTCAACCAAAAACTTCAAGCAAGATTCAACCAAAAACTTCAAGCAAGATTCAACCAAAAACTTCAAGCAAGATTCAACCAAAAACTTCAAGCAAGATTCAACCAAAAACTTCAAGCAAGATTCAACCAAAAACTTCAAGCAAGATTCAACCAAAAACTTCAAGCAAGATTCAACCAAAAACTTCAAGCAAGATTCAACCAAAAACTTCAAGCAAGATTCAACCAAAAACTTCAAGCAAGATTCAACCAAAAACTTCAAGCAAGATTCAACCAAAAACTTCAAGCAAGATTCAACCAAAAACTTCAAGCAAGATTCAACCAAAAACTTCAAGCAAGATTCAACCAAAAACTTCAAGCAAGATTCAACCAAAAACTTCAAGCAAGATTCAACCAAAAACTTCAAGCAAGATTCAACCAAAAACTTCAAGCAAGATTCAACCAAAAACTTCAAGCAAGATTCAACCAAAAACTTCAAGCAAGATTCAACCAAAAACTTCAAGCAAGATTCAACCAAAAACTTCAAGCAAGATTCAACCAAAAACTTCAAGCAAGATTCAACCAAAAACTTCAAGCAAGATTCAACCAAAAACTTCAAGCAAGATTCAACCAAAAACTTCAAGCAAGATTCAACCAAAAACTTCAAGCAAGATTCAACCAAAAACTTCAAGCAAGATTCAACCAAAAACTTCAAGCAAGATTCAACCAAAAACTTCAAGCAAGATTCAACCAAAAACTTCAAGCAAGATTCAACCAAAAACTTCAAGCAAGATTCAACCAAAAACTTCAAGCAAGATTCAACCAAAAACTTCAAGCAAGATTCAACCAAAAACTTCAAGCAAGATTCAACCAAAAACTTCAAGCAAGATTCAACCAAAAACTTCAGAACTTGTTTTGCATCATTTACGTAACATGTAGCAATAGCATGGTTTGGGCTTGTTTTGAAATTTTGTACAAGACACTTATTATTTGTCAATAAGCTAAAATAGTCCAAAAATCACTAAAAGTTGTCACGCTACTCTCTTTATTTTTTTATATGTCTTTTCATAAAAAGTCAACTAAAATAACCAATTCCTAAGCGAGCCCAGTTAGGACAAATTCCCATAATTGGAAAGTAGGACTTGAACAGAGTCTTATTTATAGATGCATTACATTCATTGTGTTTGGTTTCAATTTCTAGATTCATTTTTCTAAAAATTGAATTTTTTTATTTTTCTTATTTTTTTGTTTTTAGTGAATATTTTTAAAATTTTAAGCAATTTTTTACTTTTTTAGATGCACTTTACTTAGATGTATCTAAAAGTAAAATATTTGTAAAAAAATATTTAAAAAAATCAATAAATACACAAGAATATAAAAATATGCTGAATTTTTTATTTTTTTATATATATTTTTGGTATTTAGTGAATTTTTTAAAGATTTTTTTTTCGCAAATATTATACTTTTTAAGTGTATTTATGTTAGATGTATCCAAAAATAAAAAAAATTATTTAAAATATTAAAAAATATTTAGTGAAAACAAAAAAATACAGAAAATAAAAAAATTTAATTTTCTAAAAAGTGAATCCTGAGAAGTGAAACCAAACAAGCTGATTGTCTTATCAAAAAACAATATGCGGAGAAAAACATATGCAAACTATGACACATCAAAGAAAACAGAATTCGAAAAATATTAGAAAAAAAAAAGCAATGTTAATCTCATACATGTTTTAAGCAAAGACGCAGTATGGAGTTGGCTCTTATAAGATAAATCATAGAGGACACTCCACTTAAAAGATTATCGTGGACAGCAATTCTGCTGCCCAAAAACCATGCAATGATTTGGCTAAGCAACTCATTATGGCAAATACTAACAAGTGTCCCTTATGCATTGTTTAATGTTGAGAAGTGTGTAAAAGTGTCTTGAAAATATGTTAAAATGTGAATTGATTTCAGTAGAAGTACATTAAATTTAGTAAAAAGTATCTTGTGTTCTTCAAATTTTTTGCCATATACTTGTGCCTTAGGGGCACTTGTTAGCAAGACTTTTTCTTAATTTGTATTATCAGTTTTTAGCATTGCTCAACAGCTCAACATTACCATGTGGTTTCATTACTATCAAGGTAAAATAAGCTTTTAAGTTGGTGCCACAAAAGGTGGTTCTTTAGCATTTGTTATCTTGGTTGGCGTGTTCTTCCCATGGGATGGCCGCCTATTGGATGGTTGTGTAGCAGGCATTTCTCATTGACCCCCATGATCTTGGTCGAGGCATTTCAGCGGTTCATTTCTATCTGGGAGCTTTCTTCGGTGCTTTTTCAGAGACGCGCTTCCTCGGATTTGTTTGCCATGTTGTGTAGGAGGTAGGCACCCATTAGTGTGATCTGGTTTTCATTAGAGCCCGTTGCATGTATGCGTTCCATCATCGATCTCTTGAGGCCCAAAAGCCAACTCATAAGATGGTGCCACAAATGCATGATGGTTTCTAAACCAGCCCTCGTCCATTCACATCTTTCTGAAGAAGAAACTGAGAACACTACGCACTTTGATTTGATGCATGTAATAATCAAAATATTTACCTACTTAAAGCTTATAAAACAATTATGTAGTTCATATGTTATGGATTGTCTTTAAAATTTTACGTGATATTGTTGGATGGATTCTAACTGCAAGTTATTTAGGAAGATTGCCAAATATATCCTGATATGCCTTCATACCACAGTGCCGCTGTTACACTTGGTCATGCTGGTTTTCTGAAAGAACTACTGAAAATTATTGAGTGCATGGGGGAGAAACCTGCTAAAAGAATAAAAAATATGCGTCACAAGAACAGGGACCCTATTCTTCAATCTGATGTGGTTGTGTTTAATGCTGTAAGAGAACGTTGCTTTGTTACAGCCAATTAAGTTTTCCTCACTTACATCCATCTGCAAATTGGCTTAACTTCTTGATTATCTCCAATTGGTTGTGAGGTACTGAATGCTTGTGTTCCAACCCATCAGTGGAAGGGTGTATCTTGGGTGTTTGGGCAGTTGAGAAAGAATGGTCTAAAACCTAATGGAGCAACTTATGGACTTGCAATGGAGGTAGTTGTTGGATCTTGAAGTACCTAAAAATCATGGATTCAAACACGGGCATGGGATTGGACACGTTAATGGGTATGGACACGGGACACAACAATTTTCAAAAAAATTAAGAAAAAAAATCCACAAAAATGTCTTCAGCATAGGACGCACATGTCCGTGAAGTGTCCCCAACGTGTCCTGCAAACAAAATTATTAAAAAGTGATACACGTGGACATGCGTGTTCGCACCATGTCTGTGTCTGACATGTATTAGACATAGACACGGACACAACACTTATTTCGGTGAGTCTGTGCTTCCTATATTGGTACAATATGTTTTATGGGTGGTTATTTGTCTCAAATGATATCGTTAACTGGTGCAATTTAATTTCTTTGCAAATATGAAGAGTAAAAGACATATTATAGGTGTTATATGCCTGCAGATTTTGTTTTTGCTATCAATAAATAGATTTAGCAGAAACGGTAGAAATATTGAAAGCTGAGGACAATTAGAGTGGCTATGTTTTCAAATTCGAGGTTCATGCTATTTCTTTGGACGGAAGTATAGGTGTGTCACGCTGATCTGTTCTTTATCTTCATTTCTGCAACTCACTTTAGTTGTAAGAGAATAGTTAAAATACAAAGGGTGAGCATTGGATTTGTGTGTCAACTGCATTCCAACAATTTAATTCATCTTGGTTTTGAGACTGCTTTGACACCCAAGCTCTATTCCAAACTTGAGACCTGGAAAGCTCACAAAGGGTGCTGCTGATGTTTTTTCATGCCTGATCTGTCCCTTGACCCTTGAGTCACTTGCATCTCTTTGCAATCTGCTCAATCCCTGGAACATGAAATTTCTGCTTAGTTGAAAACTTGGCTACCTCTGTGACTATGGATGTCAGGGTCAAATATTAGGTCTGTCTTAAGGTCTGCTGATAGCAACAAAATTAGTGATTTTTATAAAGAGGCCTAATATGTCTTCTACTGCTTTGACCAATATATGAATATACGCCATATGCTTTAAAGAAAAGGAAACACAGGACTGCAGGTTAATTTGCACTAAATGTAAAATATAGGCTCTTAGGCACTTGTGGTAGCCTATTATGTACGGAATTTGTTGTGGATTCCTTGAGTAAATCATGCAAGTTAAAGTGTAATAGAATGATTTCTAGTACCTTCAAAGTTGTTAACACAGAAAACTGGGTATATATATGATTTTGACATCTGGGTTAATTCATGGTACTAATTGAATCAGTCACATAATACTTTCAGATCTTTTCTAGACCATTTTATACTTCTGTGAATATGGGTTTCCATTTAAGTGCAACAGAGTAATCTTCATTGAAATAAGTTATTTAGCTTCAAATTATATTTGGTAATCAAGACTTACAGGACATGCTTTTTGTAAGGTAATGCTACGATCTGGAAAGTATGATCGTGTACACGAGTTCTTTGAAAAAAATGAGAAGTGGGGAAGCTCCAAAAGCGCTTACTTACAAACGTATTGTTGGTCTAACCTTTACTGTCGGGGTCACTGATGTTTGGTGGCTTACACATCCATTGCCTGCAACTTTCCAGTTCTTGGCAGAGCCTTTTGGGAGGAAGGTAAAGTTGATGAAGCTGTTAAAGTAGTCAGGGACATGGAACAAAGGGGAGTGTTTGGGATAGCCTGTGTATATTATGAGCTAGCTTGCTGCCTTTGCAACAATGGGAGGTGGCAAGAAGCTATGCTGGAGGTTAGTTCCCTTGTCTGTAGTTTCATTATCTCTGGTTTTAAATTTCTGAGAGATTTTATATTTAATTTTGAATAAAAAATTCAGGCTGTGTTTGGTGCAGCTTTGAAAACTTAATTCCACCCCTCCATTTGCATGAATTGTTTGGATAGAGTTTTGAAATTGTGATTCCACCACAAATTTCAAAACATATTTCTCGTTCCTGTTTGGCTACTCTCTTTCTTTCGTGTTCTCCATTCTGAAAAGCAGAGGATTTTTGGATTTTGGGTCTACCCGGTCATCCACCCGGGCGTCCCCCGGATGTCCGGCCGGTTGACCGGAACAGTGTTCGTGTTATTTTTTTTTTTTGGCACTTGTTATTTTTATATTTTAAATAAAAAATATTTTGGAATTTTTAATTTTTTTTTTTATGAGCTCTGAATAGAATTTTGGGTTGTGTGTTTGGTTATGAGTTGTAAATTTTTGAATCAAATATCATATGTCACATCACTCAATTCAAAACTTATTTCAAAACTTATAACCAAACAAATTTTTCACACTTAAATCATAATTCCAAAACTCACAAGCTCAAAATACAACTTTATTTTCAAATCATAATTCTAAAGCACTACCAAACGCAACCTCAATTTTTCATGCGTCACGTTACACATTGTTAATTGAAATGGAAAATGTCACTTTTCACTTTGGCATAGACCTCAAGGGAGTTTAGTGTCATAATCACTAATCAAGCTTTAGGGGGGCATCACATTTTTTGGCCTAACCACAAGGGGTTAAAATGTAATTTACCCTTCTTGTATTTTGATAGTTTATGCTGTTCAAAATTTATGCATAGTTGTATGGTTAATTCGAATTACCAAGTATGCTTGCTAGGTGAATGCCTAACTACAAATGTTGGACACATAATAATTCCATATCTTTATCCAAGTATCGAGTGTTCTACAGAGGTGCTTCATACATTTAAAGACTCCACGTAACATAGGTTGGTAGCATTTGTATTTGTCTAATTTGTTTACGTACTCCATCTCTGTAGTATGTCAAATCCAATGCATTTAGTTATATGTGTGATACTGCAGCCTCTTGGCACCTAGGGTTTGCTCCATGAATGCACATCTCTGACACTTATCTTTATTGAGTAAATATCGTGGAATGACTGTTGTGTTACTCTTTTATGCCGCACCTGGATAAAATTGACCATGGAGTGTTGTAGCCATGCCATGGTAAAGGGGTTAAAGTTTTAGATTCATGTTAGACATAAGAATAGAATGTAATATAAAATAAGGTCATTACTTAGTGTCAATCCTGTAATCATGTCAGTCTGGTGAATTTATTATGTATGGTACATGAGGAAAATTAATAATTCTAAAAACTGTACCTACAGGTTGAAAAGCTAAAAAAGCTTCCTCGTACTAAGCCTTTGGAGGTTACCTTCACTGGCATGATAATGTCTTCTATGGATGGTGGACGTGTTCACGACTGCATCTCTATTTTTGACCACATTAAAGACCATTTTGTGCTTGACATTGGCATCATAAACGCCATACTCAAAGTTTGTGGCAGCAATGATATGTTTTCAGAAGCAAGAGAGTTATTTGAAGAGATCAAGAGAGCTAAATCTGATTCTCACCATAGCTTGGATGGTTTTGGTTCTTCCCTTAGCCCAGATGCACACACTTACAGCACAATGCTTGAGACTTCGGCTAGTGCTCTCCAATGGGAGTACTTTGAGTATGTCTACAGGGAGATGGCTCTCTCTGGGTAACAACCCAAACCAGTTTAATTTGAATTCTGGATTTTATTTTAATTGTCGACGCCTCCAGAGCGGGGAAGGTATGCTTTAGCCTACTACCTTTCTATTAAAAAGTAATATTTTAATCTTATATAGTTATATTAACTCTTCTTTGTAACTCTGATAATTACATCTGATGGGAATGATTTTTCTGTTGTTCATACTCCAACAACAAAGTGATAGTGGCTGTGTTTTCTCTGGCTGTTTATCTGATTTCAGATACTTCATATACGGACTCCAAAATTTCCATTGCCATTTTGTTTTCTCCTTTGTATAACCAAAAGTTATATGTTCTCCAAGGGCAAGATGGTCGTAGCTAGCTACTTTCGCATTATTTTTCACATAAATTTGATAGTGTGCAATTTTAGTGCTTGGCTTTCTTTTCTTTGCGTACTTTGTGTACTGGTGTGCCTGTGTTGTTCCTGATGTTCGAGGCAAGGAGTGTGATCATTGGATTAGTTTCTTTGAGCCTTTAGTGGTTCTTTCGAGCTACTGATCATAACTCAATGCGAGACAAGAAATTTCATTTTGGATTCATAAAATTGGTGTGTTCCAACTGCTCAAAGGAAGATGCTGACTAAAAAGCTAGATTATTCTATTTTTGTGTTATCAATTCTGTGCCTTGCTAGCTGTAGCGCTGTTTTAGATGTTACTGAATATCTCTCTCATGGCAGATTTAGTTTAAAAAAATTCTACCTTTAAACCCTTTTGTTTTTGTTGCAGTTTTATTTGTTGGAACATGCATTTGACACTATGTTGGAAGCTGGTGAAATACCTCATCCATCCGTGCTTACTGAATTGATATGTCAAGCAATAATCCAACATGATTTTGAAAGAATTGTCGGCATAATCAACACTATGGCTCATGCTCCATTTCAAGCTAGCAAAAAGCAGTGGACAGACCTGTTTGAGTGTAATGGAGACCGGATCAGTGAGGAGAGTTTGAAGGAACTGTTGGATGCTCTCAGTAATTTTGATTAACCAATGGAAGCCACTGTATCAAATTTGTCAAAACCATTGTTATCTTTCTGTAGATCCAACAATTTGAGAGAGATTTCAAGTCCAGTTGCTTTTGACGATGTGTCTGTGGGCCAATTGTAGACACAAATTTTAAAATATGAAGTGTTTCAACACATTTCAAAATTTTATGTTACAAATGTCTGTTGGACAATCTTTACTGTATTTAATTAAGTTAAATTTTGTTGTGTACTAAACAACAACCAGAATATAAAGAAATAAAGAAAATGAGAGAATTTGTTTTATTACAAAAATCAAACTCTAAATAATAAATAAATAAATAAAATCACAGATTTTATTTAGTTACAAAAACAAAAATAAAATCTGATTAAATAAACAAATAAAAACAGAATAAAATTAAACAACTTACTTGGTTAATTTATTTGAATAACTTTTCTGATCAAGTCCAGTGTTTAACACTGTGTCCTTAAGACAGATTCGTCCTCTCCACGGTACTTTCAGAATTTGGACGTCTATCTCCCAGGATGAAATGATCTACCACAAACAATAGCAGCACTACAAATTGTTTGCCTAACGAACACACTAAGTGTAATCCAATCTTTAAGTGAAAATTAAAATGAAATGATGTTTAAAACCATACGAATTTCAAAATTACTACAAAAATACCACTATAAAGAGATCCAAAAATGATTCGTAGCTCGAAACTAATGAGGCTCGAATGGCCCGAATTGCCCAAAATGAGGGCAGTGTTTTTTTTTTTTTTCTTTCTTTTTCTTTCGAAC